CATGAAATTTCTAAGCAGCAATCAAGCACGTTGTTGGCCCTGAGGGTATCAGCCTGAGATAATAACCAACAAGTGAGTCTTAACTTGTTTCGCACACACAGAACATAAAGGAAACAAAGTCTGGATCCCAAGGAAGAGGGAAGGTCTGATCAGAGACCAGCCTTAGGACCAAGAATCTCAAAAGGAGACACCCGCAGTGATAAACCAGGCCCAGAGAAGATCAAAGGGGACCTTGGCTTGGCTTGGCTGAAACCAAAAAAAGGAGAAAAACTTTCTTAAGCTTCTACATACAAAGACAAGCCCATTTTCACTCAAGATTTGGGACTAGAATTCCCACTCATAAAAGGCCCTCAAAGTTACACGTCAAAAACTTTAACACGGTCACAAAGTGCAGCCTTCCACAGTGCCTCTGGAAGGCAAACGAAATCTCCGGATTAAGCACAGGCTTCGGAGGAACTCACACATAAACTTCCAAAGAATCTTAAGTTCCTAATACATTTTTTTAATTACTAAATATCTCAGTAAACACGTTCCCAAGGACTTCTGCAAGAACAGTGAACTTATAACTGCAAAGGGCCCTCCTGTGACAGAACAGCTAGATCCTAGAGGTGGAACCTGTTTTAAGTACATTTCCGGGCACACTGAAAGTGAAGGGCAACTCCGAAACACCCCACCCACTCTCCATCTACACAGGAAATAAAAGGTAGCCTGAAACCAGATCAGAGAGTTGGAGCTTCAAGCCAACATGATAAGTGACCCTAAGGACAAACACCAACCCTGCAACCCTGACAGACAAGTCAGCCCTCAAGTGTCAAGTTTGAGGAGCAAAACCCAAGACTCCTGCCTTCAGACAGTTGTAGGGGGAGGGAGTGCTGCGGTCCCAAGCCAACAGCGCCCCCTGGCCACAGGCCGAGGCAATCACAAACACTCCAAGGAGTAAAACAGGCCAGCTTTCAAGCCTGAAGTTGGAAGCCAACAAAATACAAGCTTGGAGACAGACTGGGAGTTCAAAATTTATAGATACTGACAGATACATATAGAATAGATAAACAAGTTTACACTGCATATAGCACAGAGAAATATATACAAGATCTTGTGGTAGGTCGTGGTGAAAAAGAATGTGACAATGAATACAACTATGTTCATGTATGACTGAAAAATTGTGCTCCACACCAGAAATTGACACAATGTTGTAAACTGACTATAACTCAATTAAAAAAAGAAAAGATATGAGCTCAAAACCTACACTTTAGATGGGGTGTCACTTGGCCTTTGGAAAACAACTGGCATTATTGGGTGAGGGTAAACATGCTAGATGTTTAGACCTAAATATAAATCCTGAAGGGGCTTCTTAAACATGTGCATCAGGTGACATTAATAAAAAGTTTTCAAAGCACCTTTTGGTAGCAGATTTTCTTTTAAAACACTAGAACTGTAAAGAATGAAATGTTCATCGATGTTAACGAGATAAACATGTGCATAAAATGTAATAATATATATTAGAAGCAAGGAACACGTTCCTGCTGTACGACAACAAAGGTGGAGAACAAAAACACATCTAAAACAGACCAAATGAAATACTTTTCTTTTTTGTGTTTTAGAAATACAGATATACATGGTGAGGCCATTAAAAAAAGCAGGGAAATTATTAACATTAAACTCATGACAGAGGATTCCTCTGGGATATAGGGATGGGCCACAGGGAATGTGTTGTAACATTCTGTTTCTCAGGCTATACATTAATTTCAACAGGATGTCCTATGTCAGGAGGTACTGAATCTCCCATCACAGAAATTTGTTTCATTTCAAGGAATCTTCACCTAGCTGAGCTATTTAGAGCGAGAACAACTATTACATAGGAACTGAACTTGATAATGCTACAAGCATCTTGCAATTTAACAAGTATCTTTAAGATTTCATAATTTCATATTCATCATAGTAAACAGCACAGTAAAGTGCACACAAAAACCAATCATAATGATGACAACCATCACTCACTGACTGCTGCCTTGGCGGACACTGCTGGTCGCTAACCTATATCCTTTTTCCTTTCTTCCCTGCCAGCAAATCCTGACTTTGTTTTGCCACTTATCCTTCCCCCGTGTAACTCAGGGGAGAGGATGCTGGCTGTGGAGCATCTTTTATTTAGCCTAAGCCAATCATATATAGTCCATGGTTTGGAGGTTTGGAGGTTTGGAGGTCCTGCTCCAGCCAAGGAGTCAGGAGATGATAGGATCTACTGAAGGGCACCTGGGAAAAGTCTGCTTGTTCCTAAACAGGGAACCCAGAAAAGCACGATATTCCTTCTTGGTGGTGGTGTGCAGAGGTGTGACATCTGCGATGCTGCTGTCATAATGCAACCACGAGAAAGAGCAGTCTCAGAAGTAAGGCCATTGGTCCATGATGATCGCATAGACACAATAAATTAATTAAAGCTTCTTGACTTGTTGGTAAATAATATGTCATCTTGTGGTTTATATTTTCCCACTGAAGTCATATCAACTGGCATGCTACATGCACAGTTTGCTCATTTAATCTTCACAATAATCCTGTGAGCTAAGAAGCTTTATTATGTCCATTGAACAGACAATGAAAACAAAACTTAGAGAACTAAAATTAATTGTCCAAAGTCACACAGATACTTAGTGGTAAATTCTGGGGTGCCTGATTCCAAAACTCATACCCTTAATACCCTATCCATTCAAGTCCACCTTCCTGCAGCTGTAAGGGCTGGAAAGCACATCCCAATGGATTCGAAGGCTCCATTATCTGGTCACACGCTTCTATGGTACGAGTTGGTGTTGGTGGCAGCAGTAGCCTTGACCTCTGAATTGCAGCTACATCAATAGTTCAGTGTCAGCCTCTAAACTGTACTCCTCCAGAGTTTCCAAAAATTTAATTCCTTGTAGTAAATTGCTTCCTGCTTTAAGTACCTAAAATTACCATTTCCTGAACTGATAAATCCTGAACTGAACAAATAATTAAATACATTCCAGCTTCATTGACTTGTATTTGTCTGAAGTCCCTAAAAGAACAGTTTCATAGCCCACAGGTAACACAGCTTTATCTTTGAGCCATCCTCCGGTGACTTGTTCACCCTCTTTCTCACATCAACATGAACTGTTTATTAATCTGCCAAGAGGAGGCCATGGACATGGACTGTAACAGAGGTTCCTTCTCCACTTTCCCTCATGACTGGGAACTTTAACTGTAGACTAGTGACTAACATCCTATACGGAATATCTCATCTCTACTCGTAGGTGATTTTGTGGGGGCAAACTTTTACAAAGAGCATACTGCATTTTCCTAAAGTTTGGAGCTGGTCTCTATTTTAAAAAAAGAATGAAAGGTTCTGAAAGGGGGAGCAACATTCTATTTATCTTTTAGAATATTCACAAAATATGTATTTATAAGAAGAGGAGGTATTCTAGTCTTGTGGAAGCACAATACATCTCTTAACAACTTTAAATATTATATTAGAAAGTGCAGTCTTACATTAAAGAGCCTGGAACTTATCATCAAAAACACCTGAGCTAAAATCACATAGAGCTGCCCGAGAGTGAGGAAATCCTTGGGTTTTCTGAATTTCAGTTGATTCATCCTTACAAATGTGATCTCTGTAACCATCTCCAAAGTTTGTTGTAACATTTAAAAAGATATACCACATACAATCATGTCTGCTATGAGTTGGTATACAGTGAGTACTAAATAAATGTTGAATTTTCTCTTATTTCTTAAATATGCTATGGAAGAACTCCATTTCAACCAAAAAAAAAAAAGCTGTAGATATTCTACATTCTACTAACTTACATTATAAAATCACAGAAAAGGTTCTTAAAAGATTAAGTCAAAAATTTTGTGCAGATCAGTGGTAATGAGTCCTGAGACAAGGTGGAAGTCGTTACCCACCACTGAACTTTCGTTTGGAAATTTTCAGCATTCTGATGACTCTAACTACCTCCCACTCTGTCATCATCACCCTTCACTACAAAATATTTTGGGTATTCGAACAAACAGAAAAGCCAGGGTAGGTAACCCCTCTAAATAGCTGACATTCGTGGAGGATTGCCAAGCTGGTAAAGTAGAAGGATGTGGTGCTTACCCTCTTCCACAAACACAACAAAAACTCCATCCACGCATGGAACAATTCGCACAAAATACCCACTGAACTTTGGCAGAATATCTCTTACTATCAGAACTACAAGTTTCTACTGTAGAGCACAGGGAACTATATTCAGTCCCTTGTAGTAACCTTTAAAAAAAAGAATATGAAAACGAATACATGTATGTCTATGTATGACTGAAACATTACACCGCACATCAGAAATTGACACGACGCTGTAAACCGAGTATACGTCAATAAAAAAATAGCTTACATTCCTGCAGATGAAAATGACAACCAAATAAAACACTAGTTAGGCATTTAAGAAACTTAATGCATTATCAAATTATCACGTTGACAGTAGTTTGCTAAGACACTGCTTCAACATTTTTATTGGTTATTTACTATTTAGTGAAATGTGAAAACAGCAACTAATTAACCCGCTGAAAACTAAAACCAATATAACAGAAGACTTACGATCACCATCTCACCATTCTTTGCATTATACATAGGTTTTTTAAGACTTTCATGTTGGCAATAAAGAACACTGTCCTTCCATTTGGGTTTTTTACATATTTATAAGGATATTTAATAATAAAAGGCATGGTTTATAGGTTGGCAATAAACAGCCACAATGAATGGTAAAAACAAAAAAGAACCCATTTCTTTTTTTCTCCACCTCACTCCCTCCTGTTGTCTTTACTCCTGGATTGTAAGATTTACAATGGGAAGGAGAAAGGATTAAAAAGCAGGCAGATGGGATAACATGTCGTAGCAACTGACAAGAATGAAACAAAGTACAAGTTTATGGGGTTAACTGACTTGGCAAATGGAACTTTTACGCCCTGATTTAAAAGACACTGTTTGTATTATTTCAAAACAGATCTTGAACACAAACCTCAATGGGCTCTTCACCACCTTTCACTTGATTTTCACCCATTTCTCCATTCTCATAGCTGCTGCTCTTCTCAACCCATAACTCGGATTTTTCTACAGTCAGTCGAAGCTGGTCGAGGTCTGCCTTAATTTGCTTGTAGTTGTCCACATCCTGATTGGACACCAGCAACTGCACCTGGAAACAGAATTTCAATCCTTCATTTACTTAGGGAACATTCTTTATTCCTATTTATGTCAAAAATCCCAAGTCTTCTAACAGATTTGTCCCTCAGTTGAAGTTTAATATTTCTAGAATATTTACGGATATTTTAGATCTACACTGAGCATGAAAATTTACCTGGAAGCATCTGTAAACTCTATCCAACACAGTCACATGTTGTAAAGAATCACACATTTAAAAAAGGGAGACGTAGCAAAGCTTTTCAAAGTATTAAACAGTGATTTAAAAGATACCCTAAGTCTAATTTCACTGCTGAAGTTAATTTTCCTGAGATTCTATCTGTTTGAAAAGTAGAAACATAAAAATAAGTGAAAGGAAATAGTGATACAGTCTAAACTTCACGATATAAACTTATAATTTAGAGGTATAATATGACATTTACAAATACATGAATAGTTATATCTATTTATATAATTACTCTTTTAATTATTTCATATTATGACATATTCTTGTAAAACTTCCTAGTATCAATGCCTAGTAAACAAACATTAGTGAAACACATGTAAGCCACGTAGATATTCCTCACTAACAGTCCCAAGGTTGATGCCATTCAAAGATGACAAAGAAAAAGATCAGATCCATCACAATTCCTTTCTTTGGGGTTTATACATTTTTCAATCACAAAACATTTATTTCAGTGCTACTGTTTTTTTCCTGCCCAAATTTATCAGTAAAATCTTGGGTCAAAACAAACAGCAGTGACGACAAAATTCCTAACAGGGAATTATCCCCCCAGTGCCTTCCTAAATCTCAGTGCCTGTCATTTACATTAAAGATATCAACTGAAAAATCACTGGTGGGGAACTGTTTCTAAAACAGATCATGTCTTGGCTTAAGACAAGGCCACAGCTATCTTTAAAAACAGAAAGCATCTCCAGGAAAAGTCTGATTAACTTTGCAACCATGAAGGCAGGTTGGATGTTATAAACAGTATTTTCAGAGCCTCTGCGACGGAGCCACTGAGGGCTACTTGATCTCACCTGTTTAAATGCCTGTAAAACTTCTGCTCTCTGGCTGAAGTGCTTGAACAGCAGCTGCAGGGCTCCTGAGAGCAGAGGAGGGTAGTCGTGCATGATCAGATGGATGAGGACCCGCAGAAACGTCCTGCCTCCTTCGTCGTCAAGTTGAACTGGGTTTTTTTCCTTTCTGTAAAAGCAAAAATCATTCTAAAATAACTTAGATTTACCTAAAATCTAGTTGCAAGTGGTTAGAATTGTGTACACATTCTCAGAGTTCTATCATTTCTCCACCAAAATTGGAAAGTAAAAAGGAAGAATTTTTCACTTTTTTCTTTTTCCTTATTTATTTTTTCTTTTTCTTTTTCTTTTTCCTTTTTCTTTTCTTTTCTTTTTTTTTTTTTCCTCATGTAACTGGCGAGGAAATAAAACATAAAGAAAAGCTTGTGAAAAGGCGAGGTGAAAGCAGGTGTGGCCAACCATCCCAGTTTGTTCAGGACTGCAGGGTTCCCGAGATCGGGGGCTCCCAGTGCTCGCACTGGGAAAGCAGCAGGCGAGCCGGGATGATTTGGTCATCCAGGCACAGACTAAAGAGTCTGAATCAACCCAGAAGCATTTACTATGAAGACATACGAGGCAGGACGTACACCCAACGACTGACTGACTTCCCCCGCGTCCAAACACAGGGGCGGGGTCGGGGGGAGACTGCGCACGCGCACAGGCACCCAGCCAGCACCGGCTCCGCGCGTTTGGTGTATTTGGACCGCGAACAAGATTCTCCTGCGTGAAATGTACATTTCTTTTAAGGCGAAAATCGTACACTGGCTTATTCTCTCTTCTCGGGAATAGTGAAATAGTTGGACAGGAAAACACACTAACAATAAAAGCAAAAACTGGCCAAACAATGTAAAAATAAACCTAACCCAAATTGTTCACTCGAGATAAAAATCCTTTTGGGTTCCCTTGATTCTCCATCCTTGTCTTTCTTTGCTAACCAAAGACAATGCCACAGAAGGCTTAGTATAGAAATCTCTTTAGATACTCATGGGAAATGTGTCATAAAAATGAATGCCAGAAAATAACGTGTAACTTAGACACTTCACTTTTTTTATCTTTTGACTATTAGTTTCATTTCTGGAAAAAAGAGGGGAAAAAAGTAACCTAAAAACAATGAATTAGCAGGGCTCCTAATAGCAAAGGAGGGTAGTCATGGCAGAGACACTTTGTTTTCTTTAATCTTAGATATATCCAGTTGGCAGAAAATTGCTTTATTTCTTACATATAAAGTTAATGATAATGCTGAAAGGAGTAACCTTCTTGCCTCAAGTTTCTCAGATTCAAGAAAGCAATGTTTTGCAAGATGCAGTGATATTCGTACCAGGGGAGTTAAAGGGCATTCATGTGCTGTCGTTATTTGAGGAAAGAAAAGCAAAGAATTCAGGGGAGAGTTCAATATACTGATGTCATCTAGCCTGGGTTTTTTGTTTTGTTTTGTTTTGTTTTGTTTACCTAACCTAAAGAAAAGCTATGCTTTCTCTTCTATGGTCAATTAGCAGCTTCATTTCTGGCAGAAATTATGTTGGCAACAATAAAGGATCTAAACTTACATAGACAGAGATGAACAATAAAGTGTCAATAAAATTCTAAGTAAAACCTTATCCACAAGATAAACATACATAAATGTTACCGTACCTTCCAGCAAACATAGTTTCTGCCTGAGCTGCAATTTCATCTATATCAGGAACAATAGCTGCAAAGAGATAGGGCAAAATCCAGTCTTTATCTTTTTATCATCAGGAGCCACAATATTAATATTAGCGTACCGAAAAGTATTTTTGTCTTAATTTCTTTACGCCATAAAAGTCAATCAACACTTAAAAAAGTCGTAACATAGTTCCTCATATATATCAATATTTTAAATTGAAGTTTACATTTTAAAATGTAAATTGTTATAGTCAAAGATACATTCAAAAGACCAGAAGCATCATTTACAAAGTTACCTCATGTATGTAAATGTGTGTGTCTGTGGGTGCGTGTGTGCGCATGTGTGTCTGTGTGTGTGTATAATAACATGGAAGGATTTTTTTTTTAAAGAATCACAGTATTTCTATAAAGAACCTTGTTACTATACAGAACTTACAAACAACATCATCTTTTTACCTAAACTTGCTTACTTCCATAATTCCAGCCTTTCTTCTTGTGGACAGGGTTCTTGTGTTTTGGTTTTGTTTTTTAATGTGAACCACCACTAATACTTTGAAGATGTCTATGATAAGTACACAATTTATTTCTCATCTCCAAAAGCATAAAAAGAGAACAGAGCAAGATATAAAAAGGGAAAACAGAAGTCTTCCCAGAAAGCTACCTCTTACGGATGGATACAACCAGTGAGAGAGACCAGGTAAATCAGAGAGAACTGCTTTTCTGCTGACGCCCCTAGACTTTCCGTCCCACACTTCTTACTGACACTTAGAGCTCCTGTTTACAGAAGTCTGGCTTCTGAGAGCCAATAATTTTTATGCCGCTGTCAATGCAACCGCCAGCAGAAGTTTCTGGTTCTGCCATATCGTTCCTGGAAATAGCCCTTTGGGGTTCTACACTTCTGGGAAACATAAAAACAACACTGTTGCAAACATGCCAGAGAGACTTCTAGCTCAGGAGACCTTGACTCGTCTCTACAGACACGCTGTCTTTGGATGGTACCAAGGAGTCACAGCTAGCAGGATGTTTGGTCTAGCATCCATTCTAACTGCACACTTACAATCACTGACTCATTCCTGTCAAACTGATTGATGGACAAAGAAGAGGAGGGTTCCTGACATTGCCACAGTGGTTGCGGTTAAGAGAAAGTTTCGTATCTGTGTATGACTCCTACCCAAAGAAGAAGAATTCTGTCAACTGGCTAAATCTTTAATACACCATGGTTTCCAGCTTGCCATGACTGGCTTGAGCTATCCAGAAAAACAGTAATTTAATATTTCTTAAGTTTCATAGGGTTCTTTCTAGAGTCACAAAATTTTAATAATAATTTTTATGGTCTTATGTCATTATGCTCCTATACTCAGAAATAAGAGTGGCTTCGTTCTTACACTTTTTAAATATGAAAAACTGATATACAATACCCATTTACAACCACGCAAAGTAATAATAATAGTTTAAAAAAACAACACCTATACACAAAATTAAACCAGCATCCATATCGAGACCTCTGGGGAACGCCATAGCTTTCTTCTTAAATTGGGTGATGTCTTCCTACAAAACATCGTTCCTCCTGACAGCTGCATTTCACTCTGCTCTTTGATCCAGGCCAAAAAAAAAAAAAATTCCCTTGGATTTTCACCAAAATAACATAATGCTTAAAAGTTTCAGACCCTGGAATTGGAAAGATCTCAGCAAGTATCCCTCTTCTGTTATTCTCATGACCTTTAGCAAGTAACTTAACTCTTCTGACTTTGGTTTTCTTATCTGTAAAATGGCACCATAAACAGCACCTCGACCTCACGGTGGTGTGAAGATTACAAAAGAAACGGCATGCAAAGGACTGAGCACCAGCAGCGGCAAACATCCTCCCTGCTGTTCTGGGCAAGTTACTTGATGTTCTATCTCAGTTCCTTCATTACACTGGTGGAGTTTATTTTGACACTTTTGTCTCATAGGAATACTTCATGTTTTAAAAACATAAAAGGAACTTTCAAGTCCTCAGGAAGACACCATACAAAGAGGAAACACTGTCACAAAGGAGATACCTGATGGCAGCAGTGTATCTGGAGAGCCACTGGCAGATGTCTCAGCATTTCCATTGCTCTCCCCGAATTCCTTCTTATATATTGACAGCATGTATGAGATCCTATAATCGAGTCTGACACTCAGAATAAACTACGAGAAACAAAAACAACGTAAGTTTCTTTTATCAGCCTGCGATGCTTAGAAATTCAATTCATTACGTGACACCAAGAACAACATAACTATCGACATGCCACATGAACTTGTGAGAAACCTCATTGGTAAACTCGTCACACTTCAGCTGCACACGTGATAATCAGTCAGAACCCTAAGGAAAGTGAAGCATTTCCATCAGCCACCGTCAGTGAAATCTCTAAGCAGTTTTTGGAAAGAAGAAAATGTGACACCCCCCCATGATTGCTCTCCGAATACTCCAGGTGGAGGTAACCGGCGGGTCTGGACGAAGAGGTGAGGATGACATAATTCCTTGAGCCTTTTGCAGAGTTTCCATTTTCTCTGTGAGGAAAGTGCTGGGGCTGTGACCCTCATTCACGCACAGGAAGGCCGCGATTTCAGCACCAATGGTGTGGACTCTGGCCACGCCACAGCAGGTCCTGGATCCAGGCTACCGAAGGGCAGCGTAAGTTACAGCGTCCAGTACACCAGGATGTGCCTGACTGGCATCTGCTTCCCCCTGAGTCTGTACTGTTGCCCTGGTCACGGAAACTTAAGTGCCAGTAAGGTTCCCATCTGTGCCCATCACCGTGAAGAATGCAAACGCCCCAAGCCCAGGACCCTCAAGAAGTCAGTGATCGAGTTGGGAAAACAAAATATAGCACTGCTAACATAACTGGGAAATTAGCGCACGTCTCACTGTGGTCTCGAGTATAATGCCGATCAGAGAAGGAAGAAGTCTGGGCTGCCGACACCTGGGTGGGGATGGGAAACAGCAGAGAGGTGGTACCTTACCTCCCGGTTGCCTGAGACAGGCCAGGGTTGGCCTCTGCTCCCAGTATTGTTATCAGTGTCCCCTACACTCGCTTAAGAGAGTCTCACTTGAACAGCAAACCAAAATGGTCATCTGAGTTTCAGAAAACTTGGTGTTTGGTGCTACCATCTAACCTTGTCTCTCACTGTCTCCGCCATCACTGTATCAGACCCCTCCCTCCCTCCCTCCCGCCTTCTCCTGCCCCCTTTCCCTCACTCTCTCTCCCACTCTCCTCTTTCCACCTGCACAGGATGGAACACCTGCCATTTCTCTTTTGCCTCCTCACCTTCGTCTCCCTGGTTCCCTTTACCTTGGATGCTCTTCTCGTCCACCCCATAATCACCAGCTTTGGAGATAATCCTCCAAGGTGGGGTTTGAATCTCTTTTTTAATGAAGCTTTCCCTGGTTCCTCAGTCCAGATCAATGTTTCTCCTTTTTGCTCACCCAACACCTTAGTTACACCTCTAGGTCCACAGTGGAATCCATCTCCCTACCCCACCCCCTCCTTCTCGCCCTCCCTCTCCTCTGCTAGACCTTCACAGTCTTCGTGGCAGTAACCATGCCCCACATCAGCTGTGTCCGGTCAAGATCAACAAACTTGTTGAGCCAGGTCCTGAGGAAGGTCCCAAGGGTACAGAAAAGGCTCCAAGGATATAAGACCTGCCTTTGAAGAGCATTTAATCCAGAGGGAAAGGCAAACACCGAAGAGAATCTTTTATTAACATGCTGTGAGCACTGCAACACATAGTGGCGGAACTGGTTCCAGTTAATAAGGAGATTTTCATTCCCAGAATAGGCAGATCTATAGCGACAGAAATAGATTAGTGGTTGCCTAGGGCGGGGGTGGGGGGGAGGTGCGGTGACACTGGGGGAAATGGGGTTACTTTCGGGGATGATGAAAATGTTCCAAAATTGACTGTGGCAGTGGTTGCCCATTATCTGGGAATATACTAAAATCCTTTGGAATGTATGCTTTAAATGGGTGAATTGTATGGTATGTGAATTATAGCTCAATAAAGCAGTTTTTAAAATATAAAAAAGGCGGGATTTTCAAAGAAGACAGACCGTGGGAGAAGAGGGCTGAGAAAGGGCGTGGGTTTGGCGGCCCTGAGCAGACAGGTGGGAGCAGAAGCTTGACTGCAGGTGCCTAAAAAGACGGGTGTTTTAGGAGAAAAAAAAAAACCCTTATAGAGAACAAGTTATTAAAATATGAATTAGTGCAAGACTTATTAGGTTTTAAATGAAGATTGGTATTCAAGGAATTCTATTTTATAAATAGAGCCAAAATTGAAGCTTTCATCCTCCAATATATTTAATTATGAAAAATAATGGAAGGTAGAAGAAAAGGGGGAAAGGGAAGAATAAAAAGGAAGGCAGAGAAAGAGAGTGGGGAGACGGCTGAAGATAGATGGAGAAAGAGAGAGAAGTAAAAAGACAAAAAAAAAAAAAAAGATACATGAAATGATGGAGAACAGAAAGGAAGAGCCTGAGGAGGCACTGCTGGCAGAAAGCAGGAGGCCTGCTTAAGGGACGTGGCTACAAAGACATTCTCGAAGGGACGTTCTAAGAAAAACATTCAAGAGCCACACACAGGAACACAAGCACAGTGAATCAGACCCAGACACAGAGACACAAAAACCAGAGTGAGAGCAGGTTCAACAAGAAATACATAAAGCACCCAAAAGAGAGGCTGCAAATTAAGCCAGCCCTCGCCCGCCCTGCATGGTGTCTCCAGCCCATCATTTTTCAGCTGTTAGACTGCTCTGGAAATGCTGCTTTCCTGTCACTGTTCCTGGGCTGAAATGAGGGCACGTATTTCAGAGGCTGTCCCATGAGGAGGAGGACGTTAAGCTGGGGGCCCATCAGGCCACAGGTCAGGTGATCGCTCGCCACCTTCCTGAGTTTCAGAAAGGACTGCTCAGTGATTTCTCAGGGTCGTGAACACAGAGTTGGGAGGCCTGCCAATTATTTCTCAGGGTTCAGCCTTCGGAATTCCTGGAGGAACTGTGAACCCTTTTATGATTATAAATCTCATTACTTTAAATAAAAATGTACAGACCTCTTTCCAGGACTACTAACCCACTTCTGGTACCTCAGTCTACATTAAAATATGATGGAGGACTTAGTAAATTGTATAGATCTTTGAAAACTCCAGGCTCCATTCTTCAAATCTGAAATAAATGCTATAATTAAAGAACCATAAAACTACTTTCCAAACTTAAAAAAAAAAGCTAAGAATTCATAGCTACAGGAATGAGGAATTTATCCACTAAACCAGTGGTTATGAAATAGCAATTTACCTCCTTTAAACTCATAGAGCTAGGCATTAGACTAGGTTAATTTAAAAATATATATGTATGTATTATATCTAGTCTCTTGGAAACAAAAATGCAAAGTGGGGGGAGGGTATAGCTCAGTGGTACAATGCATGCTTAGCATGCACAAGGTCCTAGTTTCAATCCCCAGTACTGCCATTAAAATAAATAAACAAATAAACCCAATTACCAACCCCAAAAAAGATGCAAAGAGAGACAGTCACTTATATAAAATGCTAAAACCAATTATTAACATTTTCTTGATAAAAATAAAATTTTATTTGAGTTTCTTGCTACAGTAAATCTATGTACATAGAATTGTATGTCCAATTCAATTAAAAATAGGAAGAGTTAGAATTCAATCTTAATTTTTCCTGCTCTGAAATCCTACTTAAATCAACGTAAAATTAAGTCAGGGTCAGTACTAAATGAGAAAATACATATGAAAGAAATTATATCAACCTCAAAGCCGTCTGCAGTTGTTAGACATCATTAATATATTTAACAGGAATGAACATATGTAATTAATATGTTACATGCTGTCAGTGGGAGATTTCTTCCCAGGCTTATAATTAACTTAAATAAAATTAGACGAATAGCATTTCAGAATATTTACATAGTGATCTGGAATGGAACGTGTAAGACATTCAACCAATGAGCACCACTGGGTGTTTGTCACCCCTCACCTCCCAGTTGGGCCCCGTACCTGTAAGATCTCAATAATCTTCAGTTTGGTGTCCATCACGGTGATGTCCTCTTGCTCAGCGGGCGTCCCCTGCTTGCTGGGGAGCAGGCTGGGCTGAATGTCAGGCACACTCATGGGAAAGATGGAACCCCTGCTGAGCACCATCTGGGTCATCATCTCTCCCACCCCATGGATGGTTCTCATGACATTGTTTCCTGGAACGAGAAAAGTCCTTAAGTCAGTGTACAGGCCACCTTGGGAAACAGCAGCTACACCCATTTGGCCACAATCAGACTGGAAATGTAACAGAGAGAGTACCAAGGACAGGAGAGAGCGTCAGCACTGCTCAGGCTCTTTCCCTGCAGACAAAGTGAAGAGAGTGCAGGGACATTGCAAAATGACAGGTTTTAAAAGTGAACATTTACTCTCCTCAGAGAATGTTTTCATACATGCACCCCAGTGTTCATAGCAGCACTATATATAATAGCCAAGACAAGGAAGCAACCTAAATGTCCACCAACAGATGACTGGATAAAGAAGTTGTGGTATATTTATACAATGGAATACCACTCAGCCATAAAAAAGAATAAAATAATGCCTGAACATCGTCATTCTAAGCCAAGTACGCCAGGAAGAGAAAGAAAAACACCCTATGATATCACTCATATGTGGGATCTTAAAAGAGAGAGAGAGAGAGAAAAGAAGGCACTAATGAACTCATCTACAAAATAAAAACAGACTTGCGGACATAGTAAACAATCTTATGGTTACCAGGGGAAAGGGGGTGGGGAAGGGATACATTTGGGAGTTTGAGATTTGCAAACGTTAGCCCTATATATAAAAATAGATTAAAAAAAACAAATTTCTTAGGTATAGAACAGGGAATTATATTCAATATCTTGTAATAACCTTTAATGAAAAAGAATATACGTATTATGCTGTACACCAGAAATCAACACATTGTAACTTCAGTTAAAAACACTTTTTTTTCAAAACCAAAAATTTTTCAAAATAAATAAATAAAATAGAAAAAAAGAATAAGCTTTTCAAGTGATGCACAGGAGGTGAGCTGTTGGTGACTCTGACAAAAATCCAAATCAGGTCCTTCTGGAACACAGTAAGCCCTACCAACCATCATACCAGTAGGGTCTAACTCCTACAATAATGAAAAAGAAAGGTAATTAAGCCCTAGGATAAAGTGAATTGCAAGTGAGGAGACAAAGATTACATGCCCAAGATCACACCATTCTGTTTAAATGGTGACTAATGCCCTAATCCTACCCTCAAACCAGGGGCTTCTTAGCTTTTAGCCTTGCTCTCATAATGCCTGTGGGAAGAGCTTGGGAGGAGGATTTTTACAACTCCATTTTAAGGGGAAAAGAAACATATCTGGGGAAGAAGCAGGTTTTAGCCATTCCTTCATCAATCTGAATAGAAAACCACACTTCAAAATCCACAGAAAGTAATTATGTTTGGGAAACGTATCAGTGACAAACACGATCTTTCTCGATAAGGTATTATGACTCCTCCTCTGCATCTTCTCTTGAACTTAGCTTCTCATTCTTTCGTCCGCCAAGAAAACTGCCCTCGCACTCATTCCTCACACTGACCACAAGCAGCTGTAGCCAAGGACCCTCCTGACACCGCTACCGTTTACCTTCTCCAGCCTGACCGCGTTTCTCACTTCTAAAGCCCTGCAGCGGGCGGCAAGGACTCAGAAGAACAACTGTCTCCTTTCCTTTCAGGACAGTGGTCTTTGCTTCGTGGGTGTTCACGGAGCTTTGCGTCAAGCAAAGCCTAAGAATCTGGCAAAGAATTTTCCTTTCCCCAAATGTCTCAGGGTGTAAACCAAGAGAAAGGGGGAATGGAAATAAGATGGGATGAGATAAAACCCTCAGCTCCAAGTGAAGAGCATAAACTGTGGGAATACCTACAGGACTGAAAGGCAAACACATAAAGAGAAGGAAAATATTTAAAGGATGACTCAAGAGAATCTTCACGGCCCTGTGCACAGACCACAGTTACCAGCAAGCCACTGGTAACCAATATTATTTGTATGTTGCGAAAGGTGAAATGTCTTTTAAAATTCATCACCGTCTCCAAGTATGAAATTAGTATACACAGAAGAGGATGGTGCTTAAACAGTACATTTTTGAGTAGGCAAAGAAGTAATATTTTTTTCTAGAATGGCATCCCTCAGGCAGAAATGAATTTGTGTTTCCATTCTGAGGGTCTAGGACCTTTTATTACACTGCTGTTTGCATAAGCCAAAAAATGGGGAGATGAGAAAAAAAATATATATGGAAGGTAATTTCTAAGTTTGGACAAGGTTGAGACAAAGGATTGAGACAGCCCCGTTTTCTGTCAAAGTGACCTCAGGGCAGAATTGTCTGTGGTTCTCAAACAATCATAGCAGCTGAGTATTTCCAAATGCCCCCACTCTCTGCTACGTGGGCTGCAGGGATGCACATCTGGCTGTTGGCAATGGTTTGGGGTCATCCATGTTCAACCAGGACATTATCCAAGTCTCGATTCCAGTATGTATACGTGTTAGCCTCCAAGAGATGCTTTCTCACCACTAACACATAGCAGGCTCCTCTGTTACTCGTACCCTTGATTCACACAAAAATCCTTGGCACCCAGAGTGTCTGCATCTTATTTACATTTGCATGGAAAATAAACATTTAATCCAAATTATTATTACACACGATGTTAGCCCAGACAATTCTTTCCCCCAAATATAGATCCTGTCACCAAGAAATTAAAATCTAGAGGCTAGAACCATAATAATACATAACACGTGTTGTCAATGAGATGAGATGGTTCATTCCCATTGTACCACATCCTTGGATGCCTGTGGCACATGGTTGCCACAAAACTCTCCTAACATCGCCATGTATAGCCAATTCAGAGTTTGCAAATTAAAAGATGCTATATTTTCTAGAGTTGCTTAGTGATGAGAAGGGCTTAAATTGTCAACTATTACAGCTCGAAAAACCTAAGTCAAATGCCACAGAAATCACAAATGTGCATGGCTCCCAGTATCCATTTTTCCACAGAAAAATGTCTCATTCTGGACTGTTGAGATACGTCAGAGGCGATCAGTCCTCGACATGCAACAGAAGAAATCACACTATTTCTCTTCTTAACCATAATTAGTTAGTATCACTGAAAAGCTTCCAGTGACAAGGCTATTACAATGTAAATCCTCAGAGAAAATTCAGGTTTCTATGTCTTTTAAATTAACCCAGCAGCCAGAATTTGGATTTATGTATGAAGTGTATTGAGATGATTTGAAAAAAGGGAGTCATCTTTGTTAAGTAAAAGTACAAAGGAAGGAATTGCTTAGAAACAAAAGCAGATCGACTTTCCAGGTTCTTTCATTACATAACTGTCCAGATATTTTTTACTGATCCTAATTCCCTCGGGAGAAAACCTCAAAAGTAAGACAGGTGTCGTCTTACCAGAAATGGCGACTGGGAATATGGGTTGAGAGTACATTGCTTTGTTTCTTTGATGGTTCCGATGAGCCAAGTTTTCATCACTAACTCCAGAGACGTGAAAAGCAATAAGGAATTTACATAACACTAAAGATGTGCTGACTTTCACTTGACTTTCCCCTATTCAGAAGTCATTTTACTGACGGTGATCATTAAGAGGTTGAACAATCCTTAGCAGCTACGTGGATTTATAGACAGTGTAAGAAATTTAACAAAATTTTATTTGATGGACATTTACTTTACGTCCATTGGTGTTTTATTTTATTTAAAGTCATCTTTATCTGTTATCTCTATTAGAAATACTTTTCTCCTTTGAACACCTAAGAACAAAAGGGATCATTTGAATTTTCCAGTTTAGATTTTAGATAGACACTTCTGAAACCTGCTATGCATTTATAAGAGATAACAGACATACAGCATAAGGAGAGCTCTGTGAATACTTGTTCACAGCAAGTTTCTAAGTTCCTTGATTTTGACCACCGAAGTCAACTCTCAGTGTTTTACAGTAATAGAAGCCAAAACATGGATAATCCAAAAACCATTCTTATTTCTCTGAAACCTATCTTTATAGTTGGATTTGGATAAATATGCCTGCCGTTATAATAATTCGTGTGAAACAGAATGATGTTAAACCATCAAGACCTGATTCAGGAAGTCTTCCTCCTCCTTACTGCTCAGCACCTCCCTATAAACCTCCACTGGCTGGGAAACGCCCACACTCCCTCAAACTAGGGCAGTTTTCTGTTTTGAACACTGGATCAGTGCTTCCTCCCAGTGGTTAGGGTCTGGGTTATAAAAGGACTTTTATGTATGCAAAGAAAACAAAAACATTAACCCAAGATTATCACTAGCCTTACTTAAGCCAGTGATTTAAGCAGGGTAATAGTTAACATGGTATCAACCTGGATTAAAAAGAAAATCAAGGTTTAACAGCCTAGCGGACAACAGATAACCAGCACTCCCAGTTCAAAGTTAGATGACAGTATTCTGGAGAGCTGGATGTCCAGCCCACGTAGGGTTTTTAATCCACGTGTGGGAGCTGGAGGCAACTTGGTGTTCCTCTGCCTGGAGTTCTCTTACTCAGGTGGCCGCTCGGCTTGCTCCCTCAAAATCCCTTCTGATTTCTGGTGCAATGTCACCTCCTCAGGCTTCCTCCGGCCACCCTCTCTAAAGAAGGGCTGCCATCCCTCTGGATCCTGCTCTTCATTTCAGTCAGGGCATGAGCACCATCTCGTATCACATTTGCATTTGTTTATGTGTTTATTGCATCCCTCTCTCCCCCCAGAAGGAATGTAAGTTTCACGAAGACAGGGAGTCTGCCTGGTGTATCGCTCTGTCTGCAACACCAGGAACAGTGCCTGACACACAGTAGCCATTCAACAAATGCTTGTTGGATTATTGCACAAACAAAAAATAAAGTTGGATGAACATTATTAAAAATCATTATTTTATAAGGTTTGCATAAAAAGTAGGTATTGTTCTATTAAAGGTAAGATGCATCAAGGGGAGGTTTTGCTTGCTTTCTTTTCTACTTTCTGAATTTTCTGAATTTTTTCAAAAAGTATATATAATTTCATGCTACTTAAAAAACTGTTTGCAGCGGGGGAGGTATAGCTCAGTGGTAGAGTGCGTGCTTAGCATGCACAAGGTCCTGGGTTCAATCCTCAGTACCTCCATTAAAAAATAAATTTAAAAAACCCAAATTATCTCCCCTC